GACAACTGCCTAAGATAAGGGCAATTCAAAACCAAGCTGTGGTGTAGCAGGCAGCTATCAACAAGATCATAGAGTTCACAATGATTCTATAATCTCATTATGTCAATGTGTTATGCTAAATTAAAAATAGCACTACACAGGATTATATAAATTTTAGTAAAAATTTCCTGAAATTTATTACATATACCATAAAATCTACAATTTTTCTTTTTTATTCGATAATGCAAAGAAAACAACCGATGTTGACCTAACATGGCTATGATGCATATCACAAATTAACAATCTCTTGGATCATATTCAAAAGCCAATTTACATACTGCATTGACTTATATATGACCTGGGGGAGGGGTAACCTATATTAATGAAACATACAGGCTATCCCTTGTATTCACCAGGGGCTGTAAGCTTGGACGTGTGGGTGGTGTAATGGATAATGGCTTAGAATTGTTAATCAGAGAGCTATGTTCCAATTCCTATTGAGTGTTATATTCACTTATATGCAAATACCTTTCAAAAAAGGTATGAATCAACCCCCCCACCAAGTTACAGGTTTAATTAGTAAGACTTGTATCACTAAATCCTCATCATCACAAAATCTAAAACATATTTTGGCTTTAAATAACCTGCAAAGGGTTGATAAGCCATAGAAAACAAGTCAATTAATCATTTAAAACAATCATATTCACCAGAGGTTCAACACACTAGGCAGTGTTTTTCATATTTCCTTTACACTTCAAAACTATGATGAATTGAGTAAGTGGACAAGGCTAAGAACTATAAGTACTTTTATCCATGAGAGATAAGTTTCAAGACCCCAGAAAATTATGGAAACCAGTAGCAAACCATTATATAAGTTTATTTATTTGAGGGATGTTGAAAAGTTATTAGTTCAACCCAATTAGCCAAATCTAATAAATATATAAATATTTGTCAGAAGGAAACCCTTTTTGGTTGGTAATCTTTCAGCACTCCTTTACAATCAATAAATTAATAAATGTTCAATGGATTTATCTTATTGACCAACTCCAGAGTTTCATCAGTGCATCTGATAGAGACATCAAACTCTAGTAATTTTTACATAATTTGATAAAAGTAAAAATCAAACAATGTACAGGTTTGATCAAAAATATCACACTATTGCTATGGTTACATAGCTAAAATATGCAGAATGAAGCCACTTGGCACAGATAGACCTTGAATTGTCACACATACCTGCTAAGTTATAATGTTCTCACTCACTTAGGTTGTTTATAGAAGTGCTTAGAAGGAAAGTGTGTAGAGTGTGGTCATCTCACCATACCACAGAGGTTCAATCAATGACCACAGCTTGTGCAGCAGTTTTAGGCCAAGACAACATTCCCCAGGTCCAACAACCACCATATTCCCCAGATCACACCACTTGCAACTTTTTCCTCTTCAAAAATCAAATCCTGCTTGAAAGAAACAAGATTTGAAGATGTTGAGGAAATCCAAGAGAATGCAATGAGGCAGCTACTCACTATTCCAAAAAAGGAAGTCCAAGAATGCTTTCATCAACATAAACAACACTGGATAAAGTGTGTGGTTTCAGAAGGGGACTACTTCAAAAGAGATTACTTACGACTTGGAAAACACACCCTAATACTGGAAAGAAATTTCTAAGGAAAAAAAAGTCATTCTCATACAACACATTTACCATGCATCCCACACATACTGGCACCATGTATTGTTTACATTAATCACTCATCTGATTTTGTTTCTATGGCAATGACATGCTAACTAAGAGCAGAAAGGCTCCCACCACTGCTAGTAAACAGAGCATGTTTAATCTTGTAGCTTGGCTCCAGGAAGGCTTATAGTCTTTGAAATACTTGTAAAAGCTAAGTACTGAGGTTACATCATATAAAAGGCTACTAACCTGGACATTTGAGAGCCTTGATAAAGAAAATCCCTATATAATGCTTTGACTGGTTAGTTCTCTATTTGTCATCAGGTAACTTTATACTGTTAAGTGTTTATCAATGTCAATATTTTTTTTTTTAACATTGCTTTGAAAGAAAAACTCATGACTTTCTTATTTTAGATGTATTGGTGGATATGCTTTTTTTTTTTTTTTTTAGCTAACATTATGGTGTAATGACTCAACATACAAATCCACATCCCTATCAGTCAAGCCAATTAGGTGACCGTCCAAGCTTACTTGAGCCTTGGTGTTGCTTTACATTCATCATAGAAGACGCACATGTATTTTTCAGGGAAAAAAGTGTGTCTTGTAAGCCAGAAAATACAGTAAATGCCAAATTGATAGGTGTTGTAGTTTTCTTTTTATACCACTAGTCCTGATACTTTTTGATCAGACCTTGTATTCTAAAAGACAAATAGCACATTAATTTTTTTTTTAACTATGGATCTTAGCAACCTTAGCACAGAATTTATTCCTTTATTAGATTATTTTTTTTTCATAAAAAAAAAAAAAAAGTAATTTCAAAAACCCAAGTACAAAAATTAAAATGCAATCAAATGCAGCAGACTTTCATATATAAATTAATAAGAACAATTGATCATGTAATTATTGTGAAGATTAATGATGCTAGCAATAACATCTCAAATGATCCCATCAAAGTTACATTCAAAGACAATTGTAACTCATCAGTACAGATCCAATACTTGGACATGCAGACATAATAATATAGTAAATTATGTAATTAAGGGATTTTAAACAAGCATCATTTTTATTATAAACAATGTTTGTAGTAATAAACACTTAATCAATACATTTTGAATAAACATCCCTGTTTTGTTTTTTATTATTTAAGACAATAAAATTAACGCCCATCTAAACAGAAAGATTTATTAAAAATAAAAAAAACATTTTCTTTACATAAGACTTTCTGTTGTTTAGGCTTACATTAATTTATTTCAGTTTTTGAAAAAAAAAAAAAAAAAAAAAAAGCATATCCACCAATACATCTAAAATAAGAAAGTAATGAGGTTTTCTTTCAAAGCAATGTTAAAACAAAAAAATTGACATTGATAAACACTTAACAGTATAAAGTTACCTGATGACAAATAGAGAACTAACCAGTCAAAGCATTATATAGAGATTTTCTTTATTAAGGCTCTCAAATGTCCAGGTTAGTAGACATTGAATTATACTATTTGAAAAACAAGGATGTTTATTCAAACTAAATATGTTTATATTAATAAATATTTTGATATGTAAATGAAAGGGAATCAATAAGTTTGTTGCTTTACATGGAGTTATTAACTGAATTTTGATAAAATCTAATTCTACGTTTGTCGGGATTATTATTCACCATTGAATTAAACAAAGGAGATCATACTGAAAATATCTATTTCGTAAATGTTTTTTTCTAGTATTAGGTTATGAACTTTTTGATATATCTACAGGTCTATATATACATACTTCTAACCATGATTTAGGAACATTTACTCTCAGTTATGATGCAGTACTCAAGATCAGCAGGTATAAAAATAATAATGTAATAATAAATATGCATTTTGTTCCTCACTGTTTGGTCCAACTTAGTTTCATGCACACGGCAATCATCAGACACGGATTGAAAACTGACTTGTAAAATTTAGATATTTTTTATAACCTACTGTTAATATAGTGGAGCAGTCCATTTAATTTTTAAAAAAATAAAATTATTATTAATACAGTGTAACCCAGATATAAGAGAGTTGTCGGGACCGGAGAAGAAGTCTCTTATATCCGGGTTTGGTCGATTTTATATACATTAACACAGGCTCTAATTTGGGACCAGAGAAAATCTCTTATATCCGGATTTCTCTTATATCCGGGTTACACTGTAGTAGTATAAATTTTAGCTGTTATTTTATATCAAGCATTGTTTAATACCACCAGCATTCACTATGAGATAGACAGAGACAAATAGCAAATCTTTCAACAAATAAAATATTCATGCCACATGAGAGTTTGTTAATACTGTATCATAAAGGATCCATAACACTGACCATACAGTTGGTCAGTGATTAAACATTTTCAATATCCAATAAAAGTTGGCAGTCTAACAGAATCATTAACATATCTAAAGTTATTCCAAAGAGTATTTTTTTCTTTTAATTTTACAGTAGGACATTGGCAGAAAGCCAAACTATCCTGATCATTGATTAGATGGGGGCAACAAGATCTGAAAAGTAATTTTGTCAATCAGTTAAGTCTAATATAAAACAAAAAAAATGTATTTTAATGGATTTACAGGTATGAAATGAGATATATAGAAGACATCATTCAGAGAGAAAAAAGGATCTATGATGATGAAGACAAAGTTTTGATTTACAAAAAACCTCAACTGTTCAGAGAACATCATTGTTTTTTCTTAGTCATTTTGGAAACAAATAATATACATGCCTCATTTTTGCCATCAAATATACTAATTGAAAAAAAATCATAAACTACTTTTCTTGAAATACTATCTAACTTTAACGACACTGATCTATAAATATTTTACACAATTTCAAATGCTGATTTTTTTCAAGGCAGACAAGCTCACTCCAGTTTTTTTTTAATAGGTCTTAAATATGGTGAAAAGAATTGATAAAAATTTAAATATGGTGAAAAGAATTTAGAGCTGAGGTTTGAAGAAGATCTAGTAATATTTGAATTTTCAAAATTTGCTGTGTTACAAACATTTGAAAATGTAGAGAGCCAATTGTATTTTCATACGTAAGTTATGCAGTCTGTGATATTGACTAAACTCAGCAAAATGTCTGACCAATTCATTTTCTACAGCTTATCAATCCTTTGCTATTATTTAAAGCAAGAAAATTTTTTTGCATTGTAAGAATTTTTGTTTGAGATAAGGATTTAGTGATATAATTCTTACTAATTAATCCATAGCTAAGGAGGAGAAGAAGTGGATTCATAGCTTTCCCCAAGGGTATTTGCACATAAGTGAATACAACAAACCCAACTGGAATTGGAACTCTGCTCTCCAATTAACAATTCCCAACCATTATCCACCCACATATCCAAGCTTACAATACCTGGTATTCCCAAGTGGTCACCAATATCTAGGTACTGACCAGGCTCAACATTGCTTAGCTTTGGCGATCATACAGAAACCAGTGTTTCAACATAATGTGGCCATAAACCAAAAACTCTAAATAATAAGGGTCTATTAAGTCACATGATCTATGTATTAAGTGTGTGCAAATGTTTCCAGTAAAAAACCAGTTTCCAACTAGGTACTCAATTTCTAGTTATGAAAAAAGAGGGAATTTTGCACACACTTAACAGTATAATGATAGGATGAATTATATGGTGATGATAGACCTCTCAATATGAATGAAGTTATTGATTTTACTGATAAGTAGAAAAAAAAAATTACAATCAATTTCAATTTGGTTTGAAATACAAAGTATTTTGCTTATTGGGAATAATAAATTTAATCTATTAGCTTGGAATTAAAACTAAAAACAAGCATCAAGAAAGATTTTTTTTTTTTTTTAATACATTTCAAACTTAGGTACTGCTTCTTTTTTTAACCTATAAATAGCAGACAAGCACACACACACACTGGATCAAGTGTTCAGATAGCTATAACGAAAATAGATGTATTTTCTTATATAAAGAATAAATAAAAAGAAGTGATTAAATACCATAGATTCATCAGACTTTCTGTGAGGAAATTATGACAAGTGGAAAATATATTAAAAAAATAAATAAATAATAATTTGTTGCATTTTAGCACCAACTGAATTTGAACCTGGAGCAGGCATAGAAGGGTTCAACTTCTCTTACCACTGACTAACTTTACCGCTAACCATCATTTTCTGGACTAACAAACTAAATAGTTTAGGCAGTAGAATAAAAACATTTGATAAACAACAAATGTAAATTTTGAGCTCAAATTTATTTTAGAAAGTTTTAGAATTATGTTGCAACATTAAAAAAAAAAAAAAAAAAAAGGCATTGTCAGTGTTCAGGACTTAAGGCGGGAGAGGTTACCAAACTTTTTTTCACAGAGGGACAGATAACAAGCGTAGACTGGATGACTTTTCTTTTTTAGTTATTGTTCAATACATTGAATAGAACACACAAAAAATAAAGTCAAGAAACACATTTATTTATTTACCAAAAAGTTATCAAAGGTGACATTAGCAATAAAATAGTTATATCACATCCAGTGCACACATATATACAAATCTCACAAACTAAAGCAGTAAAAAAAACGGTTAGTGAGATTTGTGAAACTGATGTTTACCTTTCAATATTTGCTTTGGAATTGTTGCATCCAACCAAGAGAATTGCATTCACATGTTCAGCAGTCAACCTCGGTTTGATGTGCCGATTTTACATAATTCATTTTTGAAAATGTTTGCTCACAGACATAAAAGTTGTTCCAAACCGAGGCCATTCCAGAAGGAAAATTTCTTCAACTTCTTTTCTTAGAAATTTCATTGCAAGTACGCAAAAGCGCTGCTAGGATATCACAATCGCAAAAAGTCACCAAATTTTTTATTTCACAGATTTCCTAAAACATTTTTTACTGTCAGAAATTCAGATTAGCCAGATTTTGGCATTTTTACTTACATAGAAAGTTTAACTACAATGTATTGATAAATAATTCCATATAATTTAAAAAATAGTTATATTTTAGCACATTTGTGGCACAGTGCAGGGGCGGGCGGGATCTGGTTTGGTGACTACTGACTTAAGGTAAACATTACTGACAGACCTAACAAGCATAATTAACATTGTACTAAAATCCAAGATGATAGAATTAATTACACATAAGGATCAGAGTACAGTATCTGTGCAATGTGAAGTAATTTTACAGTACACATACAGGGGTGTTGTTAAATTTATTTTTTTCTTAACTTTCTTCAGTTTGGTCAAGCCAGTATACCAAATTTGAAGGCTGTTACACAGTGTAACTGTGTACATGAATGGGTTTGAGCCAACTAAACAAATAAAAAAAAAAAAAAACTTTCTCAATACAGTGTAACCCGGATATAAGAGAGTTGTCGGGACCGGAGAAGAAGTCTCTTATATCCGGGTTTCTTTTATATCCGGCTTTGGTCTATTTTGTTTAGGTAACACAGGCTCTAATTTGGGACCAGAGAACATCTCTCTTATATCCGGATTACACTGTAATAGTTAATACGTGTACTGTAAAGAAATTACAGGTGTAAAGACTTTTTTTTAAGTTATCTCATCAAAAGCAAAAGAAACTGTTTTGTCACTAATTGTAACAATTCAAAACTTGCTGGTTAGGTATCTTTACAACACTGTTACACTTATGAATTTTGTGAATAGGGGAAAAAAATAAAAAAGGTATTTTTAATTTTTATATTGAACTATTAGTGTTAGTAATACTAAATACTTTTTTTTTTTTTTTAGTTAGACCGAGAATAACTTTATAGCAGAGAGCGCAGTAGCGAGGTTCCTTATCAAAACTGAAATCTGAATTATTGACAGATTTTTGTTTTTCTTACAACTTATCAACACTTCGTGGGTTATTTAAAGCAGAAACATATTTCAGATAGTAAGAGGTTCGTTGTACGTACTCGCTGTTTCCAAGTGGTTCCCCATCTAAATACTAGTGACCGTGTTCGACACTACTTTAACTCCGATAATCGAACGAAAATTGGTGCTTTCAGTGTGACTGGCACTGACAGCAAATCAAAATCTGAAGCTAAAACCAAAAGTTTCCTTTACTCTGGTCTTCTTATATAACTAAATTTATATTTTGATAACTTTTTCTCACGGGGAGAGAGAAAGGGCAAAAAAAAGAAACCTTTGCTATCCATTTTGAAATATTTGAGTTGACGTCCTTTACGAGAGTTGGATTACTTTATTTTATTTTTATTTTATCTATTTTTTAGCCTATTGATCGCTTTTAAAACAAATGTTTTTGTAAATAAATTTGTTTAAAACAGAAATAAATAAATTATAGTACGGTACACTCTGCAACCCAACAAATTATAAAATTCAAGGTACTGCAGTGGTTAGTGTTCTGTACAATAATGTACTTTTTAAATATTTTTTTTGTTTCAAAAATTCATTTTGCTATTTGTAACTTTTTGCCCATACATCTTGCTTCCTGTTTGCCTTGAGAACCAGTGTTCGAAATGCTTGCTTTTACCTGGGCTCGAACAATAGTAATAATTAGTGGCTCTAGTTAGAAATACGCTAACTAAACTTACTTAACTCACAAGGTAATAAGCCAGTTACCTCATAAATGTCTTGTCTTTTTTTTTTTTAAACTTACAATCTACTCAATTTGTTTAACGGCATATCTCCTTATGGTTCATAATCCAACTTACTCAAATTGCTTAAAAATCAGTACAAAAGAAAAGACAAAATTGAATTTGAGGTAACTCCTTTAAAAATCTGACGATTAATGTCTCCAATCTGAAATTTGAAGATGATAAAATAAAATATTAAAAATTATTTTAATTTAGAAAAATGTCTTTTTAGAAGTGCGCGATTGTCATTTTAAAATTCAAGAAATTAAACACGTGTCCTGGTTATTTTTTTTTTTTTTTTATCAGACGTTCGTTGTCAAATAGCAACTAAGTAATGTAGCAGGTGATTTTATAATTTTAAATTTGTTTCTAAATTCGCACAAACCAGTTTTTTTTTCTTTTCACTTCTAAGTACAAAGAGAAAAAATGCTTTGTAAACAGACCTTGAGTGATTTTTAGGTAACGATACAGTCACGTACGTCACTATTACAAAAATTAAAACTCACACGGTAAGAAGTTATTTTTACAATAAGGTTATCGCATTTCATTTATTAACTACTTGAAGTTTAAAGTAAAGAGTTCAAAATTTTAATACATTTTGCCATTATTACACTACTACACATTCACAAAGATATAAAAAATCTGCTTAAAAAGTAACTATTTATTTACTTACAATCTCAAAGTTGTAAGGTACAATACTTTTTTTTTTTAAAAAGTTGCCTTCGAGAAAGCAATACACATGACGTTTCCTTAACATCGCCACGGTTAATTTATAAAATAGAGAGGATAATTGACACTTTAAAATATAAAAAGAAAAGTATTGTATTTTTTCAGCAAATTAAAAATAATAAAAGTTGTTCCCCAAATAGAGCAAAGATGCATGTAAACCCCTTCAAAAGCTAATAAATCCGTTCGTCAAGTCAAGACCGCCAATTTTTTCGCAAACAAACAATAAGGGAACATTTAAAAAATCACATCAAAAACGTAAAACAAAAATATTTGGGAATCATCAAAATCAACTTGGATTATTTAGTTTATGAATAACTAAAATTATTTCTAATTTGTTTTGGTGCGGTCATAAAAAGTTTAAAGAAAAAGAAAATACAACTGCGAAGCAAATTTAGAACAACAATAACAATATCGATAACAAAAAAAAAAATGATTAACTTTTCTTGCTTTCAAAGCTCAATTCAGAGACAATAAAAAACAACCAAATTAACCAACAAATACCTTTTAGTACATATACAAGACAATCATAAGCATGGAAAATAAGGAGTTATTTAAAATCGAAAATAAAATTATACCTTGTTTATTCCGACTTCGGTAAGAAAAAGGTAGCAGGAGAGAAAGAGGCTAAAGTGACTGTCAGAAAAAGAGAAGTAAAGTACTTGGGCGATGGACTGTCGACGACTGATAGAAGGCTCTATGAACACAATGTAGTCTTCTTGAAAAGAAAGAAAGAAAGTAAAAGCGCAAATTTGATACACTGCTCTTGGGGTGGGGGCAGATGGTTTTTCATTTAAGGGCCCGGAAAAATGCCTGGACGGTTAACAACACAAAGTAACCCGGACAACTGGTCTACTGTAACTAAATTGATCACACCAGCTGATGAGTGAACTTTTTTGTTGTTGTTGTTATTATTATTGAAAAAAGATAAAGAATCGACCAGTGTATATATATATATATATATATATATATATATATATATAAATGAATGAATGATGTCGTCAGCCAAGTATGTGCACGCTAGTGTAACGTTGGTACCCCCCCCACACACACACACACACACACACAACAGCCCAGAGAACAACACGCCTAGGAAGGGGTGGGGGGTCAACATTTATAGGAAAATCACTCGTCTCTTAATCGACACTAATGAACGAGGGAAATCACACC